CAATGATCAACGAGGGTAACTGTGAAGGACCACTTTTCACGGGAGGTGAGTCGCCATGTATTCTGAGGATCCGTCCCACAAGCCTGTGAAGGTTGTTCGGGAAATATACGCAGGCGCTGTGATCCTTTTCAATGCACCGATATCTGATTGCCTCGAGGAACGGACATTGGAACGTTTCCCAAGTGTAACAGAACAAAATGGCTTTTTGAAGCTGATGTTGGTGTCGAAGGATAATATTTTGCCAATATTTTTTGGATGGCTTGCTTTGAGACCGTTGACGGAGGGTGCCTTTGTCAAGGTAATAGCGACGAAACTCACGGAGTTTGAGCCGCCAACAGGACGTCAAGCAAAGCCCTGCGTCTTGAAGTTGGCCCCTGAATTGCATCCCAAGGGAGATGAGGGTTTGCTGCCGAGTGAATATGAGAAAACGATCCGTAAAATAAAGTACGGGGTGCTGTAGAAACCGTGGGCCACAAACTTTCCGCTGGTGGACGCCTTTTTTTTCTCGGAGTCCAATCCAATGACGGTGGTTGGCTGCGGATGACTACGGCGGGTGGGCGCCACACCACTGCCAGCACTGTGAGGCAGTTCACTGAGTGCCTGGCGGCTTATTTTAGTGGTTGGGAGGAGTTATCCCGAGACATTTCGTGGGAGATTATTTATGTGCAGCAGGCAGACAGCACGCCGATGAACGACTGGCAGAGATGTGATGTCGACAATTCCAATAATGTGAGCGACGAGAGCCGTGAGATTCGGTGTTCTGGGAGGAAGAGGTGCGCCAGTACCAAGTGTCAATACCATCCAGAGCTATTAGAAGAGACGAAGCTCTCCGAAGTGTGCAAAAAAAAAATAATAGGAAAATGGATTAGGAAATTGAAAGTGAACGAGACAGTTTGACTTGTGGTAAAAAATATTGTGGGATTTATGTATTTTTGGTTGCTTGTGTCTGAGCATGCGGTGCGGGTGCACCAGCACCATGCGGCAGCACCGCACACAAATGCCAAAATGTCCAACGCTATCGAACACAACAGTGACAGAATAAATTAGGGAGGGAGTGGGGTTGTTTGGTTTCTGGTGAAAAACATTGGCTGATTTTCATATGGTATGTTGATTGTGTGTGCATACGAGGCATAATTGGGGAATTGCCCGGTATGAGAGAATCATTATGGCTGGCGGTGTCACGGCGTTACCGCATTGTCCATTTTCTTCTATTGTGTTTGAAGGCCCATCAATAACGGAGGCATCTTTAGGGGATGGACGACGAATAAGTTCTATTGAGGAAACAGTGCTTCCTGTGTGACCGCGTGGAGTGAGGCGCCGCGTCATGGCTGGGTGAGGATCCGCTTCCGCGTGTGGCTCTTTGGGTGATTGCTGGATCCGTGTGCGATACTTGTTTGCTGCGGGCTGTGGCCGTATCCCGTTGGCCGTGGGATTGAACCGGAGGCGGTGGCGGTGTGTCGCTTCTCGTTCTTGTCTATTGGTGGCTGATTGTTGGCGATGTGTGCGTTTGTTGTGTGGAGGGCCGAATCTTCTCACCCGCGAACTGACGGCACTGCGATGGTGTGTGTGTGTGTGAGGGCTGGTGTGGAGTTGCCGGCCAGGGTGTGGCCCGTGGCGGTGCTTTTCCTGAGACTGGTGTTTGTTTCTTCCGTGTGTGTTTTGTGCTGCTTCTTGCTTTTTTCCCTTGTCATCCTCTCCTCCTGTTTTCCTGCGTGGAGTGGCTGCATGCTCACGGGCCATGTTGATTGTGAGTGCCTCTTGACGGTATCCGTCTTCCTCTCTCCCTCTGCCTGTCTGTCTGTCATTCCCTGTTGGGTGTGGCGTGTTGCACCGCGTGAGGGCTGGCCCGCACACACCGACGGCCCGCCGTGACTTGCCGTCTTGCTGCTCTTTTCTGTGGGCGATGGTCCTCCGTGCCGTCCCTTCCGGATTGTCTCGTGTCCCGCTCTCCGCGTGGGTGCTCTGCTCTGCTCCTCAGTGACCTTTCTGGTGTATTGCCGCTTTTTTCTTCCTTCACTTGTTGAACACAGACACACGCTAGGAAGTTACAAACAAACGTGAAACGCTACTGTGAGATTCGAAGGCACTGAAAGCACCAACAACAGCACACACACCGCCCACCCACACGTATTTACATGCTCTCACGTGTTGCTGCAGTGAAGGCACCACGCGCACACAACCGTCGCCGCGGGACCGGATCCAGCGGAAGGAGGAGGGAAGGAAGAGAGAGTGAGCCGCAGAGGCCCAACATGTCCCGGCATCTCTTTTATTCTGCTGTGCTGCTCCTATTTGTCGTTTTGATGTGCTGCAGTGGAGCTGCGGCTGCTGATGGAAGTAGTGGGGCAGGGGACGCACAGCTGCCGCAGGAGGTGGATCTTTTTTTGCCGCAGAAGACGCAGGTGGTAATAAAAAGTGGTGGTGCAACTGAAGTGAAGGATTCGTTTGGCTCACCCTCTCTTGCTTTTGCTGGTGAAGTGATGGTTGCCTTTGCGGAAGGTCATAAGGACTATAATGGTCCCCAGCATACATCCGATCTATATACTTCTGAAATTGTTGCAGGGTACATCAACGCGACGGAGCCGTGGTCGTCCATTGTCGCTGATATCAGTTCCGAAAACTGGAGGGCATATACCGTTTTTACCAGAGAAAGTTCAAAGGATCGTTTTGGCGTTGCGCTTCTACCCACGACAGTTTCGACGGGCAGTGATGTGTTTCTACTTGTGGGAAGCCACTATCTTATTCGTGATGCTACTGGGAAGCATTGGATTGACGATAGCTGGGATATTCATTTGGTCGTGGGTAAGGCCACGCAGTCCGCGGACGCCAAGCAGGGTGAACTGGTCGAGTGGGGCGCACCCACGTCGCTTTTGGCTTCGATCACCAAAAGTACTCAGCAAAGGGACTTGATGAAATTTGTGGGTGGTGGCGGCTCAGGCATTGTGACGGAAGAAGGCTGGCTTGTGTTTCCAATGATGGCGACGAGGAAAAATGATCGTGGCATTGAATCCATGCTTTTTTACTCGAAGGACAAGGGCGTTAACTGGGTTGTCTCAAGGGGCATTCCTGCCGCGGAATGCTTTGACCCCCGCATTGCCGAATGGGAGAATAGAGAAATTCTTATGCTTGCCTATTGTGTTGATGGCCAGAAAGTGTTCCGGTCGCGTGACATGGGAGATGCGTGGACCAAAGCTTCTGATTTACTCCCACGCGTGTGGATCACCACACAACCAATTCGTCGGGGCGAGGGTTGGCCTGTGGGAGCCCTCATCACCGTGGAATTCTACGGAAGGAAGGTCTTGCTGTATACTCAGAAAGTGGGCTATCCCCCGGGGGAGAGAAATAACAAGGCGCTTTACCTTTGGGTTGCGGATAGCAACCACACGGTCTATTTTGGGCCGCTCTCTGTGGAGACTGGTGCGAAGCGAGCGTTTGCCAACACCCTGCTGTACTCCGGTGATGCGTTGTACTTTTTGCAGAAGATGGGTAATGGGAAGGCAGATGGCGTTTTTCTTTTCCGAATTATTGAGGAGCTGAGAAAAATCAAGTCCATCGTGAGGAATTGGATAGAAGTGGATGCCTTTTTCTCCGGTTTGTCTACACCCACGACTGGTCTTGTGGGGGTTTTGTCCGATTCATCCGGTGCCGACAAGTGGAACGACATGTACCGCTGCGTGGATGCAACCGTATTGGGCGCAATAAGGATTGAGAATGGCTTTAAGTTCACAGGGCATGGGGCTGGGGCAATATGGCCCGTGAACAGCCGGGGAAATAATAAACAGTACACCTTTGTGGATATCAGCTTCACTCTTGTGGCGACGGTGGTCATCGAAGAGATGCCTCCGGGCGGCAGTAGCGTTCCTCTGCTGGGCGCGATGCTGGAGGATGGAATGGGCACGAAGTTCCTTGGGCTGGCTTGCGCTGAGAACAGGATGTGGGAAACAGTGTTTGATGAGCAAACGGGACAGGGCGACTTTTGGGAGCTGAAAAAAGAATACCAGGTGGCACTCATGCTAAATGGGAACAAGGGTTTTTTTTACTTGGATGCCGAGCTTCTGGGGACCTCGGATACGATGCGAAGACGTGAAGAACGGGCTTACGATGTTTTGGGCTTTTACTTTGGGGGAGACGAAAGTGGCCGGGACAGCAGTGCATCAGTGAAGAACGTCTTTTTGTACAACCGCAAGTTGACTCCCGGTGAACTGAAAATGGTCAAAAAGACTGGCTCTCCCAAGCATGAGAGTTCATCGTCGGAAGCGAGCGGATCTGACTCCTCTGCGCATGAGTGTGTTTATTTTGTGCTTCTGGTGTCGCTGGGGCTATGGGCCCTTGCGGTTTTTTATGGAGTGTAGCAGAGTATGTTTATTGCGTTCTGTAGGATTACATGCATCTTCACACGAATGTTCTGGAAGTGTGTGAAGAGAATTTTTGCGAGCGGGCTGGCTAATTTAATGTATTCTGACAAGAAGACGAATACGGTTTTTTAACGATTTTTTTTTTTTCCTTTTTGAATTCTTTTTGAAAACTTCTATTGAACGGATCAATGAACCGATAACGACTAGACGAATTTAATTATTTTATTTGTGTTTTTACTTTTGCAACTTAACTCACCTTCTTTGGTCCCCACTGTGTGGCGGGGACTTCGGGCCGGAAGAAAACGAATAATTCCATGTTGTAATTAATAAAAATATCTCCAAATTGGATGGGTCGCAACATGTCATAATCGTGGTTATCAAAATATATCTATTTATTTATGGACCAAAAATTGAGGGGCTTCTGAACTTACTGCCTCTCTATTACCTTTGTCTTTTTCAGGAGCTTGTGAAGAGAATTTTTACTTGGCATGCTGGCTATCTAATTTAACATACATGCATCCTGATAAAGCGAACCCTGTATGTCCTTTTTCTCTACTTTATGATTATTTGGTTGACCGCGATGCACGGAATCAAGGAACCGATAACAACTAGACGAATTTAATTACTTTATTTTTATTTTTGCAGCCAAACCTGATTCCTGCATTTTTATGTAAAGAAATGGCGATGATTCCCTACACGGCAACGGAATGGAGCTTCAATAGTGGTCGTATTTTGGATTTGGTACGCCATTATGGCGATATACAGGCGCAACTCGCCTGCATGGATGAGCACAGGCCGTTGGACGTGGTGGTAACCGTCGCTGCAACAATGGCACTCCGACGCTGGATTTCAGGGGACATCGCCAAGCACTGGGGGGGATTCAACCCTTGTGGGGCACTTTGCGAACCTCCGGGCGCCTCAAGTACCAATTTTCGAGACCCAATTGCTCCTGCAGTTTGTCGCGGACGTTCAGAATCGCAATGCGCAGCTTTACTTGCAGGTAGAAGAGGCGCATAATTACCTGTTGGCTTGTGAATCCCACATTTCGGTGGTTGGAGGCCTTTTTGCGGGTCGCGGGGACGCCGTGTCAACGAGAAGCGCCCACCTCTCGGAGAGGGCCGCCAGATGAGCCCCCACTCACGCATGCACGAAGATGGCGTAAATACACAGCCGCATCAACCGCATCATTTGATGGCTGGGGGCGTGCCAGAATCCACGTTTCCCTAACGCAATCTCACGGGAGAGAGAGACGGCGGGTCAACACCCGAAATTCTCAGGGCAATTTCGGGAGACCACATATCTCTCACACCGTGACTTTGCCTTTTCGCACCTTACCCTTGTAACAAGATTTTGCTCCAGAGGATCAGTTACTGCATTTTATTGCATTGGACGCCACCACTTGGCCACGCATATATGGAATGAGGGCATCTTCGGAGTCGTCGACAGTCTCAAGAGCGCATAAAGTTATAATTTGCACCAAATGGACGCTTAGGTTCAACTTGCCCTTGACAGTTTGGTATCGTGCGAGCGCGCACAGGAAGCAGAGCGGTATCCCATCGAGTAGTTCATGAAATTGGGCAGGAACATACTGCAGGCATTCCGGTTGCAGCTCATTTTGGCATCCGACCCCCAGCATCCCGCTCTCCAGACTGAGCGCCCGCCTACGCAAAACAGCGATCGTTGCGATGTCAATTTTTTCACATTTATGTACACGATGCATCTACGTGCAACGTGCGCAGCGCAGCCAGATGGAATTACTTGCAGCGCAGACGGTCATCAAAAAACGGCAGAGGGGCTGCCCGCCGCCCATGAGTGCTGACGACGGCAGCCTCCATCCATTCCACCACCTCCCACCAGTCCTCACAGGCGTCGCACAGAACCGCCGACACTCCATCCGATCTCTTGAATTGCCCGACGCAATCGTCGAGAAGGGCAATGGAGCTTATCCGCCAACGACGCTCGAATGTGGTACGACGAAACACCGACATCTCCGCTTTGGGCCAGTTATATGAGGAGCGCGAACGAGGTGGCTCGAGAAATGTGGGTGCCGTCAACGTGGGAGCAGAGAATGTCCCTAGCGGGGCAATTCACAACCTTATGCCGCACGCACGAACAGCCGATGAACGAGGAGAGCTGTGCGGCCTTTTTTGTGGGAATTGACGTGGCGCCATCGACCCGACTGCAGTACGCCAGGATGCTGCGGTCCATGTTGCAAATGGATCGGACCCCGCTGGACATGGCGATTTCGGGGCTACAAAAAATTGCGTCGCGATCGGAGACGAAACAGGCGCGCCCCTTGACAAAGGAAGCGGTGGATCAATGTATATCTGTAGCCGGACCGATTGGAAGGAACATGTTGTTTTTCGACTTGCGTGGATAACGGCGAGTCTTTTGTCCGAGATTGCGGCTCTCACCTCCCAATAATTCCACACTGGAGGCGGACGGGACCCTAATTTTGGATAGGTCCGTGGCGCCGAAGACGGTGAAAGCGGATCCCCACCTCGCCTCGCGGTTCGTGAGGACACGAGGGCAGGACGCCTTCGACATTATAGAGTTATGCAGGACACTTCAAGAAAACGAAAAGCTCACGAATATTACGACTGCACAGGTGACACGAGCCCTGGCTTCTTGGGATGCCACGGCGCATTCCGTAAAACGCGGTGCGCTGCGGCACGCTGTTCCAATCGTGTAGACGTACAATTTGGACCCACACGTGATCTCACAGTTGGCGAAGCACGTCGACCCGTTCGACCTTCCCCAGAATACTGTTTGATATTTGGGGAGGTACACCACAATGCTGACCCAGGTGTCGTCGCTGGTCGCATTGATGTGAAGGGAGACACTGCGGAAGGGCAGGAACCCTGGTTGAAAGCAGAGGAGCGTTTTTCCATGATTTTAATTACAATCATGCTGCTACAATAACGAGACGCGCGACAAGGACGCGTTTGGCCACTCCACAAGATGAACTAACCATCCCGTTACAGCGGGTCAACGTGCCCGTATTGAATCTGGAGTGGGTCAAGGGTCGGTTGAACCCGGCTACCTTGGAGAGGCTCATGCAAGTTTGGGGACTCGTCGGGCGGTCCCCTTTCACTTCGTCTTCCTCCGGTAAAGCGCGCGAAGTCTCACGGAGGATTCCTACCGCTGACGCGCGATTATTGAAGGAAGCGGGAATTATCGAGGACGCCTTGTCCATAATAACAGGCGGATGGATAATACCTTTTCAGTTGTGGAGGAGAAAACCACCGGTTTACGACGACGATGGATCGCGTGGCCACGCGACAAGAACAGAGACGACCCTTATGAGGCTCATGCTCCTCTTTTACACATTTCCCGTTATTTGCCGCCTGTGATGGCTGAGACCGCTTCCTGCCTGGACTTAAAGGCATCCTTTTTTCAAGTCTCTTTACCGCGGGAGACTCGGCATCTCTTTCGATGCCGCGTGGAGGACGGCACGCTGGTGGAGCCCACACGGCTCCCAATGGGATGCAAGGCCAGCCCAGAAATTCTCCAGATTATTATTACTTCGGCAATTGCGGTGGTGACGACGGTGGTTCACCGCCTCTGGGCTGCACCTCCATTGGTGCGCGACGACGTTTGGATCGATAATATACGCATTACAGGGTCGAAAAGCGGTGCGACATTGTGGGAAGCCCAAGTGCTTCGTAATGCGGACAGTTGTCACGCCACGATAGGGGAGGACCGCGAATCGGGCGCTGCGCAGTACACCTTTCTGTGGGTGCGGTTTGATCACACTCACCGTGCGGTATCCCTGAGTGACAAGTTTGTCCGGTCTGTACGGGCCATGCCGGCGCTCAATTCTTTAACTGCAGAAGTGGAGTTTATGGCGTCACGCTTTTTGTACGCGGCGGCCATTTTGGGCACGCGTTTATGTGACCGCCATTTTTCCATCAAGGCAGTGCGACGACGATTATCGGCAGTTAACCGGAGGTTTTGCTGGAGACATCCCCGGCGAACCTTCCGCCGGCAGCGGCTGGTTTGGGCGAGAGATTACGACACATCAATGAAGATAATCGTCGGCGAAACATCAAGCCCACCGAAAAGGCGTCGGCCGCCATCATCACGGATGCATCGCTTCATTGTTGGGGAGCCGTTTTCATTCCAGACTCCGGCGACGTTAAAATTGCCGGAGGGAAATGGGGGAAGGAACCTTTTCTTATCATGCAGGCCGAGGCGCGCGGTGCGCTTGGCCTTATCGGTTTTTTTCCGCCATCTTGCCATCCACCATGGACGTTTGGGTGGACAACACCTCGCTGCAGGGAGCGGCGAATAAAGGCAGCTCGAAATCGCACGCGTTGACGTGGGAGCTGCAACGGACATATGAGTTTGTTGACTGTCGCGGAATACAGGCATCCTTTGCATACGTACGGTCTGCAGAAAACCCCGCAGACGGCATATCACGCGGTCGTGTGTTTACACTTCAGAACTTGGCGAAGGGTGGAACTTGCGAAGGGGAGCGGCAGTGTCTTGTGGTTGGAGGACCCCAAAGTCTGCCACTTCGTAAGAAATAAATAAATAAATAAATAAATATCCCATTCGAATAGAGTGAGTGGGCCGCGACTGTGGCTAATGGATGATATATAAATATACAGTTTCTAGCTTTTACACTTTGAGGATATGGTGAACCCACTCTGATTCCATTCATCCCTTTCTTATTCCTATCTGGTTTGTTTTCTATTAAAGATAACTTGAGGATTCGGTCAGCGGCCCAGAACATTATTTTCTCATGTGAAGGTGTGCACTTATTTTTGGTGTCGGTGATGGGGCAAACAGACCGACAACGTGAATAAAACAAAGTAAAAAAGGGCGATAGTGTGGCGGTGTTGGGGTCGATTGCACGCCTCGCGTTGCTGCGGGGGCGGTGAGCCTCGGTTGCTTCACCGACAGGCGTTGCAGTGCGGCTGCATGGCGCACCGACCACCGAGCCGTGCGAGTGCCACGCCCAACGCCATTGGGCTGCGGGACGAAACAGCCGCGAGTGTGCTTTGGAGCCAGCGGCACCTGCTGGCCGCAGTTGGGCGGTGCGAGTGGGATGCTTCACCACACGGGTGTTGTGATGGCGCCTTGCAGTAGCTCCAGTGTTGTTTCCGACGCTGCAGCTCGCAGAGGAGTGGATGAAAGGCGGCGAACAAATTGGACTCTTGACAGTTGGCGGCATAAAGTACTGCTGGAGGGAAAGGAACGCATCCGAAAAGTGAGGCTGAACGGTTTACTTTGGAATTATATTGACGGCAGGGGCGTCGTGGAATTCTTTAGGAACGTCTATATGAAGAGCTTTTAATTAGCTCCGCGAAGTTTATCCAAGACGAAGTGCCATTGAGCACAATAAAGGCATCGCCACCATACCAAGAGCTGGAAAAAGAATGTGAGGAGATTTACATGCTGTTGAAGGCTTCAAATAAGCTTGGAGACGAAAGTATTATCACTCTCAGGCAATGGAGTAAATTTGAAAGGAAGGATACGGTCGCTCCTCTTGCAAGGGCACAAATAAACACAGCCTACTCTTATTTACTGAGAGAAGAGAGGCGGAAGGCAGAAGAAAGGGCAAGACGAGAACGACAAGAACTGGGAATTGACGTTTCTTCCAGGACTGATGATGCGGTGTTTGAGGGAAGAGTTCGCGTCAAGGAAATGAAGCTGAATTATTTTTTTACGATGGAATTGGACGGCAGGGGTGCTTTGGACACCAATTGGGATGTGTCTTGCTGGATGAGCTTTTTAAGAACCCCAAGAAGTATATTTGCGATGCGGGAGTATTGAACGAAATACAGGCATCCGATCGTTACAAGAGGATGGAGAGGGCTGTGAGGGAGGAAATGGATATGGAAGAGGATGTACGCAGGCTTTACGAGAAATGTGTGGACAATCTACTGAAGTGGTTGGTGGCTACTGCGGAGGTAAAGGCAAATGTTCATGGAATCACTAAAAGGTTCTTGGATGCAGCCCTTGAGGAAGCGAGGAACCCAAAGAAGTCGAGCGCACCGATATACCTGGAGGGATGCTACGAGTTTGTGTACAATACGAGGTGGCACCATGTCGTGGAAGTTTCTGACGGCGAGGGGACGGGAATGAAGGTGCATGAGGGAGGGGAAACCACCGCAGTCGTGGACGTACAGGGCAGTTGGCAACACCCTCGAAAAGGATGACGCTGTGCAGCAATTCGGTGCACCGCGTCCCAGGCTGATGGTGCTCACCTCGGACAAGGGATGGCCATACTCGTGGAATCGGAAGGGGGTGGAATCCACTCGTGACTGCTATGTGAACTGTGAGGTGGAGCGAGCGTGGCAGATCGTCAAGGGCGATCTCACCGCGTGGTTCAGCCCTCACGGTGGGAATGACTTTACGCCCGAGCGACGTGTGTTGATTGGGACGCCCGGGATCGGGAAGTCGATGGCTGCCGGCTCGTACCTCCTCTACCAGCTGCTGCACTACGACGCCAAGAAATTTCATTTGGTTGTCTACATTTTTGGTGGAAGCTCGACGTACGTGTTTGAAAAGACCATCCAGGAGGTGACAAAATACGTGGGTAGAGGAGCATCCGAGGACTTTTTGTATGATTTGTGGCATTTGAAGATGAAGGGGTATGTTATCTACGATGTGACAGAGAAAGGGAAGCCAGCGAGTTGTTTTGTACCTTGTAATGAATGGGGCATGATTGCGGTGTCATTCCCAAAGGTAACCAACTATGATGAGTGGGCGAAGCAGCTACAGGCCGCGCGAATCATCGTGAATTGCCCCGACGAGATGAATGCGGAGGCGATGTGCGCCTGGATAACGCGTGATGAGACTAAAGAGAAACAAGCGGAATACTGGAAAGGGGTCAAAAAACACATGTATCTTTTGGGACCGATTCCACGTCACGTCTTTGATGCGGAGGCGTTTACTGAACGCTGTGGAGCGGTGAAGTTTGCATTGCAATCGATCAACGAGGTAACTGTGAAGGAGCACTTTTCACGGGGAGGTGAGTCACCATGGTATTCTGAGGATCCGTCCCACAAGCTTGTGAAGGTTGTTCGGGAAATATACGCAGGCGGTGTGATCCTTTTCAATGCACCGATATCTGATTGCCTCGAGGAACGGACATTGGAACGTTTCCCAAGTGTAACAAAATAAAATGGCTTTTTGAGGCTGATGTTGGCGTCGAAGGATAATATTTTGCCAATATTTTTTGGATGGTTTGCCTTGAGATCGTTGACGGAGAGTGCCTTTGTCAAGGTAATAGCGACGAAACTCACGGAGTTTGAGCCGCCAACAGGACGTCAAGCAAAGCCCTGCGTCTTGAAGTTGGCCCCTGAATTGCATCCCAAGGGAGATGAGGGTTTGCTGCCGAGTGAATATGAGAAAACGATCCGTAAAATAAAGTACGGGGTGCTGTAGAAACCGTGGGCCGCAAACTTTCCGCTGGTGGACGCCTTTTTTTCTCGGAGTCCAATCCAATGACGCTGGTTGGGCTGCGGATGACTACGGCGGGTGGGCGCCACACCACCGCCAGCACTGTGAGGCAGTTCACTGAGTGCCTGGCGGCTTATTTTGATGGTTGGGAGGAGTTATCCCGAGACATGTCGTGGGGGATTATTTATGTGCAGCAGGCAGACGGCATGCCGATGAACGACTGGCAGAGATGTGATGTCGACAATTCCAATAATGTGAGCGACGAGAGCCGTGAGATTCGGTGTTCTGGAGGGAAAAGGTGCGCCACTACCAAGTGTCAATACCATCCAGAGACTTTAGAAGAGAAGAAGCTCTCCGAAGTGTGCAAAAAAAAAAAAAATAGTAGGAAAATAGATTAGGAAATTGAAAGTGAACGAGACAGTTTGATTTGTGGTAAAAAATATTGTGGGATTTATGTATTTTTGGTTGCTTGTGTCTGAGCATGCGGTGCGGGTGCACCAGCACCATGCGGCAGCACCGCACACAAATGCCAAAATGTCCAACGCTATCGAACACAACAGTGACAGAAGAAATTAGGGAGGGAGTGGGGTTGTTTGGTTTCTGGTGAAAAACATTGGCTGATTTTCGTATGGTATGTTGATTGTGTGCGCATACGAGGCATAATTGGGGAATTGTCCCGGTATGAGAGAATCATTATGGCTGGCGGTGTCACGGCGTTACCGCATTGTCCATTTTCTTCTATTGTGTTCGAAGGCCCATCAATAACGGAGGCATCTTTAGGGGATGGACGACGAATAATTTCTATTGAGGAAACAGTGCTCCCGTGTGACCGCGTGGAGTGAGGCGCCGCGTCATGGCTGGGTGAGGATCCGCTTCCGCGTGTGGCTCTTTGGGTGATTGCTGGATCCGTGTGCGATACTTGTTTGCTGCGGGCTGTGGCCGTATCCCGTTGGCCGTGGGATTGAACCGGAGGCGGTGGCGGTGTGTCGCTTCTCGTTCTTGTCTATTGGTGGCTGATTGTTAGCGATGTGTGCGTTTGTTGTGTGGAGGGCCGAATCTTCTCACCCGCGAACCGACGGCACTGCGATGGTGTGTGTGTGTGTGAGGGCTGGTGTGGAGTTGCCGGCCAGGGTGTGGCCCGTGGCGGTGCTTTTCCTGAGACTGGTGTTTGATTTTTTTGTGTGTTGTGCTGCTTCTTGTCTTTTTCCCTTGTCATCCTCTTCTCCTGTTTTCCTGCGTGGAGTGGCTGCATGCTCACGGGCCATGTTGATTGTGAGTGCCTCTTGACGGCATCCGTCTTCCTCTCTCCCTCTGCCTGTCTGTCTGTCATTCCCTGTTGGGTGTGGCGTGTTGCACCGCGTGAGGGCTGGCCCGCACACACCGACGGCCCGCCGTGACTTGCCGTGTTGCTGCTCTTTTCTGTGGGCGATGGTCCTCCGTGCCGTCCCTTCCGGATTGTCTCGTGTCCCGCTCTCCGCGTGGGTGCTCTGCTCTGCTCCTCAGTGACCTTTCTGGTGTATTGCCGCTGTTGCTGCTGTACTCTCCACTTCTTGAACACAGACACACTAGGAAGGAAAGAAAACAAGCGCTAATCGCTACTGTAAAATTCGAAGGCACTGAGAGGACCAACAGCACACACATTGCCCACCCACACATATTTATATGCTCTCACGTGTTGCTGCAGTGAAGGCACCCAACAAACACAACCGTCGCCGCGTGATCGGATCCAGCGGAAGGAGGAGGGAAGGAGGAGAGAGTGAGCCGCAGAGGCCCAACATGTCCCGGCGTGTGTTTACTTCCGCGGTGCTGCTCCTATTTGTCGTGTTGATGTGTTGTGGTGGAGCTGCGACCGCTGAGGTGGGAAGTAATGCTGATGCTTCAATTCCTTCTGGGTCGACATTGACGGGTGTCATTGCTGGAGAGGGGAGCACTTCAGGGGGTGTTGAGGGGCTGCAACGGGTCGATCTATTTGTGCCGCAGACGACGCAGGTGCTGCCGAAGAAGGGGACTCCTGACTCAAGTGGGAGGGATTCATTTGTTTCACCCTCTCTCGTCAGTGCTGGTGGAGTAATTGCTGCTTTTGCCGAAGGTCACATAAATGCCAAACCTCCCCATAACGAATCAACTAAGCCGTCTTCTGATGTTGTTGCGGAGTACATCGACTCTGCGTGGGAATGGCCCACTCTTGTTGAAAAGGTCGGTAAAGGAACATGGAGTGCACACACTGTGCTTGGCAAAGCGGAGGGAGAGGGGAGTTTGGGTGTTGTGCGCCACCCCACAACAACGATGAAGGACAATAAGGTGTTTCTTCTTGTGGGAAGCACTGCCTTGTCCGATGTAAATGGGGGTTGGAAAGAGGGCAGCCTGGAGCTGAAACTGGTTGTTGGTGAGGTCACGAAGACTTCTGCGGGCGGCGAGCCGAGTGAGTGGATCAAATGGGGCGAAGTTCAATCGCCGGTGCAGCAGACTACTTTAGCTGCTCACAAAGGTAACTTGACGGAGTGTATTGCTTCTGGTGGCTCGTGTGTTCTGATGGAGGATGGCACCATTGTGTTTTCTCTGATGGCGAAGAGCGGAAATGATGTCGTTTACTCCATGATCATTTACTCGACGGACAGCGGCAGTACCTGGGCGCTTCCAGAGGGCGCTTCCCCTGCGGAATGCTCTAACCCCCGCATCACCGAATGGGAGGGATCACTTCTCATGATTGTTGATTGCGAGGATGCCCAGAGGGTGTACGAGTCGCGGGACATGGGGACAACGTGGACGGGGGCAGCCGGGACGCTTCCAGGCGTGTGGGTCAACTCACAATCGGAAGACTATCCGGACGGAGACTTGCACGTGGATGCCCTCATCACCGCGACCATTGGGAAAAGGAAGGTCATGCTGTACACACAGAGAGGGAACTTCTCGGGGAAGCAAAGGGAAAACGCCAATCCGCTCTACCTTTGGGTGACGGACAACAACCGCTCGTTTTCTGTTGGACCGTTTGGCATGGACAATGCTGAAAAGGAGAAGCTTGAGAGCGCACTACTGTACTCGGATGGGAGTTTGCATCTTTTACAACGGAGGGGCAATGGTGAAGGCAGTGTCATGTCGCTTTCTCGCCTGACGGAGGAGCTGAGCACAATCAATTCCGTCCTCAGTACTTGGTCGCAAAAGGACATTTTCTTCTCCAGGTTGTCTATACCCACGGCGGGTCTTGTGGCGGTATTGTCCGATGCGGCCAGTGATGGCACGTGGAACGACGAGTACCTTCGCCTGAATGCAACGGTGACGCCTAATGCAAAGAAGGTCGAAGATGGATTACAAGTGACGGAGCCTGACTCCAGGGTAATGTGGTCGGTGAACAGTCGGGAGAAAAATGGGCCATACACTTTTGAGAATCGCCAATTCGTTCTTGTGGCGACGGTGGCCATACACCAGGTTCCGAGTGAGGACGCTCCTCTACTGGGTGCGACGTTGGGTGACACTAATTTCAATCACACCATGGGAATCTTGTATACCGCGGATAACAAGTGGGTGACGATGTTCGACGGCAAAAACACGACGACAGAGGGCAGCACTTGGGAGCCGAAGAAAGAATACAAGGTGGCACTCATGCTGCAAGGCAACAAGGGCTTCGTGTACATTGATGGTGAGTCGCTGGGGGAGGAAGAAACGCCGTTAACAGGTGAGAGGCAACTTGAACTCGCATACTTTTGCTTTGGCGCGTGCGGTATGCAAAACTCACCTGTGACGGTGAAGAACGTCTTTCTGTACGACCGCCCACTGAGTGTCGGTGAACTAAAACTGGTCAGGAAAAGCGACGCCAAAAAAGGTAAAGGTGACGGCTCCATGCGTGGGGCCGTGTCTCGGGTGCTTCTTCTTCTTCTGCTGCTGCTGCTGGGGCTGTGCGGCTTTTCGGCCCTTTACGGGGCGTAACGCGACGGGGCCCCTGCCTCCGGTGGGGGCATTTGCGTCTCCCCATGCACCTTCTGGAATAGTTGCCACTTCTTGTGCACGCTTTTTTTACTTATTTTGTTTTTACGATCCCTTCGCCGCGCAGGCTCCTTCCTCCATGTGGAAGCATGCTCCCCCCGAGGCCATCATCGCGTGGTTTTTGTTTGTTTGGTTTTTTATTTCCCCCCTGTGTTGTGGTCCTCCGACAACGGCGGGATCTACTCAGTATTTTTTTTTTTGTTTGTTTGACCAGAGGCGCGCTCGGCTTTGTGTGTCACGCCGACGGTGCCGGCTAATAAAAGAGATAATGGAATGGGGGCACGAAACCACGCCGAGTGTCCCAGTGGAATATAAATAATGTGTGGGCACCGGGTGTTTAAACGACTGTAACGAGTGTATCCTATTTTGTTATCTTCGGGCGAGACACGCGCACCAAAGTGTAGCTTTTTTTTGTGTTTTTGAGTGAATGCATAATGGAGGACGAATTTGTTTTGTTTTTATCTTTTCAACAAGTGTCCCGTGTTTTTCCACTTTCTGGGCTGCCGTGCAGTCTTGAGTTTCACCAGTCCCTTGCTTGATATTTTTCTCTGGCACTCCTCTGTGGCTGTGTGTGCCCTCGTATGGTTTGCTTTGCCCCCTTTTATTTTTTACATGTCCGTAGGCACACACACGAAGCACTTACATGCTATAAGCAGTCTAGTGCAGTTGGCTGGCCCAATCACACTTTTTGCGGGCAGTTGCTTGTGGCTGCTGCTCCCCCGTTGTGTTGGTGAGGGAGGAGGCGCGTGATGGCGTTGGTGGAGCGGCGCCCGGTGGAGAAGGAAGGCACCGACCGCTGCTGACGGTGACGGTCTTTGCTGCAGGCGATCCAAAGAGATGGCGTCACTGGCGTCACAATCAACCGAGATGGATGCGGACCGCACCGCACCTTTCTTCCATCTCATCATCCTTTCAGTCCGCAGCAGCCAAAAGCCACACGCACCGTGCGGCAACGGCGTGACCGCCATCCGGACTTCTATGAGCCAATCAGACTGTGCAATCAATGTGGACCCTTGTCCCCCGTATCTGGATACTGCCGCCGTGCTTTTTCTTTTTCTCCCTGTGTATGCCGTGCGCGTATGATGCCGCTGTTTTTTGAGCAGTGCCGACTTGTGTGAACGAGAAACGAAGTTTTTATTGCTGGCAACTGACGCACTCTCTACCGCTTTCACGCGTGAACGCTCCTTTTTTGATCGCGCACTAAGGATGTTGGTCGCGACGCCGCCATATGGTTGTTTTTCTTGTCGCTTGTGTGGCTTTTGCGGCATCAGGACTGCTCTGTGGTAGAAACATTTGGTTGCAGGAGCGGTGCCAATGGTCATGTGTCTTTTTGCCGGGTTTTTGCCACTCTGCGCGGTGACTGTGTGGGGTTGTGTGGGGCTGCGTGGGCGGGCGACGGTTTTACTGATTTGATTGTATCTGCGCGGCTGTGTCGGTGGCTGTGCTGTTGTGGGGATTGTATGTGACCGGATGCTTCTGCGTGCTACTGTGTCTGGTTACTGTTGCTGCCTCTTCCTTGTTTTGCCGTGCAGATAGAGATACTTTGGATTGACCTGCACAACTATCGTTTCAAGGTGTTAGGTTTTACTCGCAGCAGGAGGATTAGTAGTAGTAGGATATCAATCTATCGGAATAGTGTCATTGGATTTGCCATCTGCAGAAGGGGATTTTGAAGGCAGGAGTTACGGTCGACGAGGCGAGTGCGACACACCACGACAGCCCTGTTGATACCTGTTTGGGTCGGTGGATGTGGTCTGCGGTGGGTGCGTGTCCGCGCAGCCGGCACCGTGTGCGGTGCAGGGCCATTGCGGCTGTGCGTGTGGCGCTGCTTGTGGCGTTGGCGCTGGTGTCGTTGGCGGCGTGTATGCCCGCGGTGCATGCGGTGGTGTTGCGAATGCGGGGCGGCACGGTGGACAGAGCCATCACGGTTGGCCGCGCCGTGGACACGGTGCTGATGGATGGCGTGTACATGACGAACGGCGTGGCTGTTGTGTTCGACGTTGCGGCGATGCTTCCCGGCCCTCTGCGCATCGAACTGAGGAACTGCGTGTGCGACGGCGGTGCGCAGATCTACGTGCGGGGCTACAGCGGCGAGCCGGCGAGTGACCGGAGCCTGGAGGTGAGCGTGAGCGGGCTGTCTGGGAGCTACTGCTCGCTTGTGTTTGTGCACAACCTGCCGGCACACACGAACGTGACGGTCCGTGACTCGAAGATTGTGACGGCGGGGCCGATGCGCTACTCCCAGCTGAGTGGGCTGACGGACGCGGTGGCGTCGCCGCTTGTGCTGCACGCGACGTCGCTGTTGCAGTCGCAGCTGCGTGTGAGCAACACTGTGCTGAGGTCGTTGGACGCGGGCGGGTCGGCGGTGTACGTTGGCGGCGACGTGGACCTGCTGTCGAGCGCGGTGGTGCTTGACGGCGTGTCGCTGGAGGCGTCGGGCGGTCCGACCGCGTCCGCGATGCATGTGGCGTCCTCGTCGATTCTCAGTCTGCGGAGCCACTCGGTGTTCTCCGTGACGAACGTATCTGTTGTGAGCAGCGGCGGCGGAGTTGCGCTTGGAGAGCGCCTCGCGGTGTTTGAGTCAGTGCTGCGCTTCGTGGGCGTCGAGGGGTCTGTTGCGTCGTCGCTGGTGCGCTGCGACGGTGGGACGATCGGTGTCGGCGGGTGGCTGGAGCTGCGCGACGTGTGGGCGGTGGGCGAGGCGTCGTCGGTGGCGTCGCTGTCGGGGGTGACGCTGAGCGGCGGTGCCGTGTCGATTGCGCGCTGCGCTGCCACCGGCGCGACGCTTGTCTCCGGGCCGACGATCACGAGCGGCGTCGTGTCGGCGCAGTGCAACCGTGCCGGCGGCCGGGTGCTGCAGAGCAGCGGCGACTACCGCATGGCTGGCCTGCCCTCAGTGAGCGTGGTGCCGTGCGATGGCTGTGCGGCTGCGCTGGCGTGCTTTGGTGCGCTGACTGCGTCGTTCACCGAGTGTGTGTGCAGCTGCCGTGCCGGCGGCGTGGGCGAGGCGTGCCTGCCGTTCGACGTGCCACCTGCGAGGGCCGGCGGTGCGCAGGGCTGCGTGAGTGCCGTGACGCTGACGGAGTCGGTGACGGTTGGCGGCGGGCGGGCGACGGCGTGCTTCGACTCGGTGGTGTTCAGCGGGTCAATCACTGTGACGGTGGACCTGCGTGTGATGGACGCGTTCGCTGGCGCACTGAACGTGACGCTGCGCCACTGCGTGCTTGCGGGCGGCGCGCAGCTGCGGATTGGTGGCCTCAGCGAGAGCACGGCGCGCCTGATGCCCCACGCCCTCGTCAACATGACGAATGTGACGTCGGTAGAGGGAACGGTCGTGCTGCATGGCGCGATGCCGCTGCACTCGAGTGTGCTGCTGGCGAACTCAACGCTGCGTGCGACGGTTGGCGGGTCGCAGTACGTGCCGACGACACCTGGCCATGCGGGATTGAGGTGTGGCCCCGCGCTTGTCCTGGACGGCGTCCGGCTTCTGTCGACGCGTTTTGTTATGACGCGGTCGGCTCTGGTGTGTTGCGGGCGTTCGTGCGCCGCGATCCTCGTCGAGCGCGGTCTTGGCGTGAACCTGTCCAGCGTCTTCTACATGGACAACTGCGTTGTTATGTCGAGGACGCACGTGATTTACGCCCTTGCGTCGGACCTGCGCGTTGGCGGCGGCTCCGTGTTCTCCATACAGAACAGCTCGTGGAGTGCGCCGAGCAGAGAATACTACAAAGGGGCGTTTGTGTTCAGGGACGTTGTTGTGGATGGCGGCAGCGTGCTGCAGATTGTGTCCAGCACTTTCCGTCTCGGCTTCGCCATGCTCATGGCAACCACGCTGACCGTGACTGACGGCAGCTGGCTGGTGCACCGCGACAACGCGTTCCGCACCGCCTACGTTGTGTACGTGGTCAACGGGAACGGCATGGCGTTCCGCGATCGGAGTGTGTGGTCGATACTACACAACAAATTCATTTACGGCGCTTTCTATTCCTTTACATATATGACAACCAAGTGGTCACCACCATCCGACTCGCGCCCGATCATCTACGGCGTGTGCAACGAGGCAAGGGGCTCACCTGTGACGGATTACGAAGAAGACCTCAATATTGGAGTGCCTGTGACGGTGTTGGACTGTGGCGCGTGCACCATGGACGCCGTGTGCTTTGCAGCAAGGACGAGCAGCATCAGCGGCTGTGAGTGTGTGTGTGCCGCTGGCGGCCACGGTGACATGTGTCTGCCAGCTGCGGTCCCGGACGGCCTTGGGCCGCTCCCGCTCCCTGAATTGAAGGACACGGAGGTCCGCTGCGTGCACGGTGGCAGCATCAGCTCCGTGGACGTTCCTGATCCCGGTGTGCGTGGTCTGTGCTTCGTCAACGTGACCTTCACTGCCGCGATTGTGCTGGACCTGTCGTATTTTGCCGCACCACAGCAGACACTCAACATCACGCTGCTGCAGTGCGTCCTTGTGGGCCTGTCGATCAAGGGGAGTGGTGCGCGCGTGCACGTGAACGTGACATCCTCGATGCTGGATTCTGGAGCGTTGGAGTTTAGAGGTGATTTTGTGGCGAGCTCCCAGATACTGGTGGTTGGTAGTACGCTTGTGACGACGTGGAGCCACGCCATTGTCTTTGTGGATTTCTACTTCAGTACGAATGTGACGCTGTTGCTGCTTGACAACCGTATCGAGGGAAATAGTTACGCAGTTTATTTTACTGATGCTGTTTTTGTTGATGGTGGCGGGATCATTGTGAAGGGAAATACGCTGAGGACAACGGAGAATAACGGTGCGGGATCATCTGTTTTTGTTTCCGCTGTTAATGTGAGGAACGGCGGCTACTTTGACGTTGAGGACAACTCGATGAGCGCGGTCAATGGCGTTTATCTTTATGGGGACACCACTGTGAGCTCTGCGGGGCTGCTGAGGGTGGCGGACTGCACCTTTGTTG